GGGTGCCCTGGTCAGGTGCGATGAGCAGGCTGCCCAGTGAGTCGGCGGGGCCTGTGAGCTTCAGACAGAGTAGCTGTGCATGCGCCCTTCTGGCCAAGCCAGGAGGGCGTGGCGTATACACCGCTGCTGGGTTCAGGATGGGCCTGGCCAGGGAGCAGTTGAGATGTATAGATTTCGCCCCCCCCCCCCCCCCCCCCCCCCAACAAAAGTCCCCAGATGACGAACGAGCACTATGCACCCGTACCCATAAGTGGGACGGAGAGGGCTATGGGTGCGTGTTGTCGGATGGGGGTCTCCGCTCGAACGGGAGCGCCCCCCCGGGGTCCGACAACCCGCGCCCGTACCCATAGCCAGCCCTCCTTTCAACTCGGGTGTTGCTCGAAGTGCCCCTGGCCCGAGGTGCCCCCAGCTTTTCCCTCCATGTTGGAGCCCCTGGGGCCCTCTTGGCCTCGCGAGGGGTGCTCTGGAGGCCGTCTGGGCCACCCCGAGAATCTTGGGGACACCTTGGGCCAGGGGCACTTCTAGCAGCATCCAGTCAACGTCCCCATTTTACCGGTGTGTGCTGCTCGTCGACCCCCAGAAGTCTGGACCCTTTCCCGGGACCGATTTTTCATCCTGAGTAGTTTTTTGACGGTACCGGGGCTTGGTAAGGGCCTCTGGAGGCCGAACATGCAACAAAAACCGCCCGCCGTGATTGTTCACAATGCGAGGGGGTCTGGGTGGCCAGCCCTCCTCTCAACGTCCCCCCTACGGGCCTACGGGTACGGCTGCGTGCTGCTCGTTCGTCCCCCCGGGCCGTGCGGGGATTTGGCGCTGCTTCTCCACCCTCAGCCGCTTTTTTCGCGAGGGTACCCTCGAGGGCGCGAAGCTATGCGCCCCCTTCGGGCTTCGCGGTGCGGCTCCGATTCCTCCTCCTCCTCCTCCTCCTCCTCCTCCTCCTCCTCCTCCTCCTCCTCCTCCTCCTCCTCCTCCTCCCCCTCCCCCCTCCTCCCCCCCCCCTCCCCCCCCCTCCTCCTCCCCCTCCCCCTCCCCTTCTCCTCCTCCTCTCCCCTCCTCCTCCTCCTCCTCCTCCTCCTCCTCCTCCTCCTCCTCCTCCTCCTCTCCCCTGGGGGGGTGGGGGGGGGGGCGAGCGCCAGGGTATTCGCGCCTCGCGCGGGGCGCGGAGCGCGAAGTCCTGGGGTGCTGGCGCTCCGCCCCCCCCTCAGACCCCCCCCTCTGGACGCGATCGAGTCCCGGCGGGAGGTTTTCCGATATTGCGAAGGCCTCACTCGGGAGCGGAAAAGAGGGGGGTGATGACTAGGGGGGGGGTGGATATCATGGCGGGGGCCATGATTTTTCCTCAGATTTCATGGCGCCTCTTCTTATCTTATTACGTCCCAGGCCCCCCCGCTGGGCCGCGCACATGCCGCCGGTCATGATTTGCACCCCCCCTCTTGGACACCCCCCTCTTGGCCGCTCCCGACTTACGGCCGTTGCCGCCGACCCTGAAGACGACGGAGATGAAAACGAGGGTGAGGAGGAGCTTGGTGCGCGTGCCCAGCGCGGAGGCACAGGAGGAGGAGGAGGAGGAGGAGGAGGAGGAGGAGGAGGAGGAGGAGGAGGAGGAGGAGGAGGAGGTGGTCGAGGAGGAGGAGGAGGAAGAGGAGGGGAGCAATGGGGGGGCTGGACGTGATCAAATCACGGCGGGAGGTTTTCGATGCTCTCGGCCTCTGCAGGCCCTTCCCGGTGGTCGGGGCCGTCAGCAAAACGACGCAGGACGAGAAACCGGCCACGGGGAAGGGATCGATCAGGAGGGAAAATTACGCTACCGAGGAACCCCACATACTTATATTATGGCTGGAGTGATGATAGCTGAAGTGAAGCATGTGAGAATGATGTTGGTGGCCGTTGCCCCGCCGATACCGTTGGTGACGCCACTCAAGAGGAGAGGTGGAAGAGGATAAGCGCCGCGCCAGCCACACTTCGGCATCAAGAAGTTGCCACGCCTGCCACGCTTTGCGAGCCCGGAACGGATAGCGACCGCACCCCTTGCGCACCCCGTCTGGCGTCGAGAAAGCGCCACGGTTGCTATGCTCTGGACGACCGTCGTGCATAGTGGCCGCGGTGAGGGACCAACCCCTGCGCACCCTCTATGGTGTCGAGGAGATGCCACGCCTGCTATGCCCTGGACGACCGTCGTGCATAGCGGCCGCGGTGACGGAACCCCCCCCTGCGCCCCCCCCTGCGCCCCCCCTATGGTGTCGAGAAAGTGCCACGCCTGCTATGCCCTGGACGACCGTCGTGCATAGCGGCCGCGGTGAGGGACCACCCCCTGCGCACCCCCTATGGTGTCGAGAAAGTGCCACGCCTGCTATGCCATGGACGACCGGCGCGCATAGCGGCCACGGTGAGGGACCACCCCTTGCGCACCCCCTATGGAATCGAGAAAATACCACGCCTGCTATGCCCTGGACGACCGTCGTGCGTAGCGGCCGCGGTGAGGGACCAACCCCTGCGCACCCCCTATGGTGTCGAGAACATGCCGCGCCTGCTATGCCCTGGGCGACCGTCGTGCATAGCGGCCGCGGTGAGGGACCACCCCCTGCGCACCCCCTATTGTGTCGAGAGAATGCCACGCCTGCTATGCACTGGACGACCGTCGTGCATAGCGGCCGCGCTGAAGGACCACCCCGTGCGCACCCCTTTATGGTGCCGAGAAAGTGCCACGCCTGCTATTCACTGGACGGCCGTCGTGCATAGCGGCCGCGCTCAGGGACCACCCCCTGCGCACCCCCAGTGGTGTCGAGAAAATGCCACGCCTGCCACGCTCTCCGACCCTGGCACGCATAGAGGCCGCGTTGAGAGATGCCACGCCTGCTATGCACTGGACGACCGTCGTGCATAGCGACCGCGGTGAGGGACCACCCCCTGCGCACCCCCAGTCCAGTGGTGTCGAGAAAATGCTACGCCTGGTATGCCCTGGACGACCGTCGTGCATAGCGGCCGCGGTGAGGGACCACCCCTTGCGCACCCCCTATGGTGTCGAGAAGGTACAACGCCTGCCACGCTCTCCGACCCTGGCACGCACAGAGGCCGCGTTGAGGGACCACCCCTCTGGTGTCGAGAGAGAAACTGCCGCGCATGCCACGTGCCCATCTATGTGGGGCCTGCCACGCTCTCCGACGTGTGGTGTGTGTGTGTGTGTGTGGTGCGATGCGGTCACGCCTGCCGTGCCCTGCGCGCCAGCCCTGCGTGCTCTGCTGAGCTGTGCTGTGCTGTGCCGAACTGAGCAGTGCTGTGCTGTGCTGAGCTGAGCTGTGCTGTGCTGTGCCGTGCTGAGCTGCGCTGAGCTGTGCTGAGCTGTGCTGAGCAGTGCTGTGCTGTGCTGTGCTGTGCTGTGCTGTGCTGCGCTGTGTGAGAAGGGGGGGAGGGAAGAGGAGGTGAAGGTGAGCGCGGGTGCGGCGCGGCAGGGAAAAACACCAAAGCCCCACGAAGCATGTGGGGAACCAAAACCCCACGAAACATGCTCGGATAGCGGCCGCGCTCAGGGACCACCTCCTGCGCACCCCCTACGGAGTCGAGAAAATGCTATCCTGTCTTGCCCTGGACGACCGGCTCGGATAGCGGCCGCGCTCAGGGACCACCCCCTGCGCACCCCCTGCGGGGTCGGGAAAGTGCTGCTCCTGCTATGCCCTGGACGACCGATTCGGATAGCGGCCGCACTCAGGGACCACCTCTTGCGCACCCCCTACGGTGTCGGGAAAGTGCCACTCCTGCTATGCCCTTGACGACCGGCTCGGATGGCGGCCGCGCTCAGGGACAACCTCCTTCGCACCCCCTGCGGTGCCGAGAAAGTGCTATCCTGCCTTGCCCTGGACGACCGGCTCGGATAGCGGCCGCGCTCAGGGACCCCCCCCCTGCGCACCCCCTGCGGTGTCTGGAAAGTGCCTCTCCTGCTATGCCCTGGACGACCGGCTCGGATAGCGGCCGCGCTCAGGGACCACCTCCTGCGCACCCCTTACGGTGTCGGGAAAGCGCCGCTCCTGCTATGCCCTGGACGACCGGCTCAGATAGCGGCCGCGCTCAGGGACCACCTCCTGCGCACCCCGTATGGTGTCGGGAAAGTGCCAGTCCTGCTCTGCCCTGGACGACCGGCTCGGATAGCGGCCGCGCTCAGGGACCACCTCCTTCGCCCCCCCCTACGGTGTCGAGACAGTGCTATCCTGCCTTGCCCTGGACAATCGGCTCGGATAGCGGCCGCGCTCAGGGACCACCCCCTGCGCACCTCCTACGGTGTCGGAAAAGTGCCACTCCTGCTATGCCACGGACGACGGGCTCGGATAGCGGCCGCGCTCAGGGACCACCTCCTGCGCACCCCCTACGGTGTCGGGAAAGTGCCACTCCTGCTATGCCCTGGACGACCGGCTCGGATAGCGGATGCGCTCAGGGACCACCTCCTGCGCAGCCCCTATGGTGTCGGGAAAATGCCGCTCCTGCCATGCCGTTGACGACCGGCTCGGATAGTGGCCGCGCTCAGGGACCACCTCCTGCATACCTCCTATGGTGTCGAGGAAGTGCCACTCCTGCTTTGCCCTGGACAACCGGCTCGGACAGTGGCCGCGCTCAGGGACCACCCCCTGCGCACCTCCTATGGTGTCGGGAAAGTGCTGCTCCTGCTATGCCCTGGACGACCGGCTCGGATAGCGGCCGCGCTCAGGGACCACCCCCTGCGCACCCCCTATGGTGTCGGAAAAGTGCCCCTCCTGCTATGCCCTAGACGACCGGCTCGGATAGCGGCCGCGCTCAGGGACCACCTCCTGCGCACCCCCTACGGTGTCGAGAAAGTGCCAGTCCTGCTTTGCCCTGGACGACCAGCTCGGATAGCGGCCGCGCTCAGGGACCACCCCCTGCGCACCCCCTGCGGTGTCGGGAAAGTGCCTCTCCTGCTATGCCCTGGACGACCGGCTCGGATAGCGGCCGCGCTCAGGGACCCCCCCCTGCGCACCCCCTACGGTGTCGGGAAAGTGCCACTCCTGCTATGCCCTGGACGACCGGCTCGGATAGCGGCCGCGCTCAGGGACCACCTCCTGCGCAGCCCCTATGGTTTCGAGAAAGTGCCACTCCTGCCATGCCCTGGACGACCGGCTCGCATAGCGGCCGCGCTCAGGGACCACCTCCTGCGCACCCCCTATGGTGTTGAACACCGCGCCCAGGGACCACCACCAACGCACTCCCTCTGGTGTCGAGAAAGTGCCATGCCTGCCGTGCCCTGCGCATCCTACACGTGCGTGTTGTATGGCGTGTCATGTGCGCCGTGCTCTGCTGTGCTGAGCTGTGCTGTGCTGTGCTGTGCCGAGCTGAGCTGTGCTGTGCTGTGGTGTGCTGTGCTGTGCTGTGCTGAGCTGAGCTGTACTGAGCTGTGCTGAGCAGTGTTGTGCTGCGCTGTGCTGTGCTGTGCTGTGCAGCGCTGTGTGAGAAGGGGAGGAGGGAGGAGGAGGTGAAGGTGAACGCGGGTGCGGCGCGGCAGGGAAGAAAACCAGAACCCCACGACGTATGTGGGGAAAAGCACATTGACACAATTGATCGTCGATTCCCCAGAAAATATGGGAAAATATAGGAAGTGGGGGGAAGACGAAAAACCCCAAAATATGGGAACATTTGGGAACATGTTTATTTGTGAGTATTTATTTGTGTGTCCTTGGGCCCCTTCAACCTCGGGGGGGCGGTCGACGTTGTGAACAAAAACATGACGTCGGGGGTCGGCGAGCCTTCTCCGCCTCCACCTCCCGCCTCCCCCTGCTGGTCTTCCTCCGCGGCAGCCGTTTCCTCCTCCTCCTCCTCCTGCTCCTGCTCCTCCTCCTCCTCCTCCTCTTCGTCCTCATCCTCCTCCTTCCCCCACCTCATCCTCCCCCCACTCCTCCTGAACCCCAACCCCGCAGTTGGCGTTGTGAACAACATCGGCGTTGGCCACCTCCGCGGCCGTTTCCGGCGGCGAGCGGAAGAGGCCTCGAGACGTTGGGCCCTCGCCGCTTGTGCTGGAGGCCTCGACGGAGCCTCGAGGGCGGCCGTCGAGGGCGGCCGTCGCGGGCCCAGGCTGTGCTAGCTGCGAGCCCAAGGGAGGGCCATTGCGCCGCAAGGTAGCGCCCTCTCAGGATCCGGTGGCAGGCTGAGGTCGGGCCTGTCCTTCTACAGGAGGGATATTCAAAAATATGCAAAAATGGTCAGGATACGTTTTTTTTTTTTGTGTGTGTGTGTGTGTGTGTCAATTTTGAGCATTTGGGGGTATTGACTATTTCTTATTCTTCGTCCACAATCCGCCTGTGGGGGGACATGCCCGACCTAAAAGTAGCGCCCTCTCAAGATTCGGCGGTAGGCGAGGGGGGGGAGTCAGAAGGAGGAGGCCTTCTCAGACGGCGGCGGGGTTTCTCAGAAGCCCTCGCCCCTTCGGAGATTTCTTTGTGCCTTCGGTCACCAGGAGGAGAAGATGGGCACAGACACAAATAGTCGCCGATTTCAATAAACATATGGACCATCTTGGAAGTGGATGGGAAGACGAACATCCAGAAAATATGGCACATATGGGGGATCCTGGGATTTGTGTCCATTTACTTTGTGTGTGTCCCTGGGCCCCTTTCAGGGAAGGCTTAGGACACCTTCTCAGAAGGCCTGGGAACTTCCGAGCCTTCTGAGAAGGAGGATAATCAGGAGGAGGAGGAGGAGGAGGAGGAGGAGGAGGAGGAG